TTGGTTTGAACTGCAGGGTCGGCAGTTCAAGCTCACCAGCTGCTTCTTGGAAACCCTATACAGGATTGCTATGGGTCAGAACCAACTCAATGGCACTGAACAAAAACAACAACATACATATTCCTGGTGGCACAACAATGAAGTACTGAGCCACTCACTGAAAGATCTGTGATTCAGACCCATCAGCCTGCTCTGCAGGTGAAAGATATGCCATCTGCTTCCATAAAGATTTGCAGCTTTGGAAACTCTAAGGAGCAGTGCTAATCTGTCCTATAGGATCACTGGGATCAAAATGGGCTAGATTTGCAATGGGGTTTGCTGTTGGACATACTCGTACGCACATACAAACACATATACACATATCACTCTCTCTTGCTCTCTCTCGCTTTAATAATATGTAACAGTTTATATCATCTAGTCGCACAAATTCAAACAAACAAAATATCAGAAAAATGGGCCAAAGGCAAGAACAGACAAATCATGGAAGAATCATAATTACCAATAGACTAATGAATATATGTTCATCCTCACTAATAGTCAAAGAATTAGAAATTCAAATAATTAATTGACATCTTAAAATTCATCAGTTGGCAAAACTTGAAAACTCAAATGATATTCATCATTTCTGGGATTTGGCAAATGGGCTCACTAAGGCATTATTTTTGTGACTATAAATGAATGCTGCCTTTTTTCGAGCATAGATTGATAGGATCTACTAAAAATTAAAATGCACATTGAGGGATACAGCTTGATTCAGTAATTCCACTTTTAGGAATCTGTACCATCAAAAAATTGAGGTGTGCAAAGATATTCAGTAGCAGAAAATTATAATCAACCTCAGGTATCTAACTATGGATATGTTAAACAAGTGATGGCTCAGGCATCCTCTGGACTACTGTGAAGCTGGTAAGAAGCAGCTAAATGTACGGCACTGGCATGGCAGTGCATGGATGGGCAGGGTGTCCTTGAGCAAAAAATCAAATCTAGGAACACATGTACGTGCAGCATGATTGAATTGTGTGTGTGTCTTTATGCCAAAAACAGAGCAAAGATCTGGGGAGAAAACCACACTGACTGCTAACAATGGTTACAAATCCAGCGTATGCAGATGAGAATTGCACTTCCTATTTTATGTGCTTGTGCAGTGTTTGCAATTCTTATCACACAGATGTACTGCTCTATGTTCAAAACAAAAACTACAAATGCTAGACAATGAAATCTTTGACCAAAAGGAAAGAATTTGGCTAAAAGAATTGCTGTAAAAGAAGCTATAGATACCTGTGTCTATTAAGTTGGTTTTTCAGAGTGGTGACCCTCTTTCTTACTACTATATTAATTTTCTATATCTGGAATATTTACTTCAGTGATTTCTCTCTGATTATTCAGTTCATTGTGTTTAATAACATTTATTGGTGTTTTGCAGCCACAACATTGGAGTTTTGTAAAAACAGTATTTAGTAAAACTTTCCAACTGTGATTTATATGCTACCATTTCTCTGATGAATAGACTGTGAATGGGGAATTAGTAAAGGAGCTAGAAATCTGGGCACTAGTCAGTGCTTTCACTTATCTCCAAGGAAAACCTTATTTCATATTGATAAAATTTGAAATCTTCCTTGAGGTGCTTTTCAGTTGTTTATTGTTGTTGTAACTGTCTTAATGAGAGGCAGGAATGAGCCCAACCAACCTGGATCATTCCTTTAACTAATTTGATTTCAAAGGAAATTCTTCAACCCAGATAAATGAGCGAATGTGGACGGAATCAGATTCTGACTCAACATGTGCCATTAATTGATTCAGATTCATTCTTCAGATTTTTTGAAAAATCAACTCAAGAGTAATTAAGTGAGACAATAGACGACTGTAACCACCTCTGCTTACAGAACTCTGTTTAAGTCGACATTAGTATTTGCCATCTACTCTATTATAAATCAAGATTTATTATAGAAATATACCCAAAATAGCACAATAGTAAAGAAAACAGATTGATCTCAGCATTTGAAATGTACCTAACAAACTCAACCTCTTGCAAAATAACTTTCTTATTCAAAATGGAACTGGGAATTGTTCAGCACACAATGAATCATCTTTTGGCAAGTACAATAGAATCTTCAGGGACATTTCACAGCCTCTTGTTCAATTGTTATGATGTTTTTAGCTTTCACAGGTAGGGAAGAAGGTAACTTGTATAGCCATCATCTTGTTGCTAAAATTGTATAGTAAAGATTTTTCAGAGTAGCAGTTGAAATAGATCTTTTTGCTTTCCTGTTTCTTTACCCAGAACTGCTTTGTCTCTCAAAAACAGTCTGGAATTACTTAATGCTAATGTTTTCTGGTTTTACTATTTACCCAGGATTCAAATGTTAAACATTAATATGGGAGACTCCCCTTTCCTTCCATCCTTGCCCTATATTTATTTAACTGTTTTTCTTCAGGAAGAAAATCTCAGTTTCTTTGCCCACTTCTGTGTTAGTGTACTTTCTTATGGACAAACACAATTTGTTTTCATTTTTGCTTTCTTTCTATCAGGAGGATTTAGAGCTACTCCCTGATGATTGTGAAGTGACCGAGACTGCGGCGGCATTGGAAGTGATAAAATATGAATATCATGTTTGGTATTCCTGCAGCTATCAAGTACCTGTGCTATACTTCAGGGCAAACTTTTTAGGTAAGACCGTGTATGATGCTAAAAGTAAATTCATAGCATTTTGCATATAAGGCAGAACACATATTTGGAAAATTATTCTTGAGGGGAAAAAAAAAAAAGTTAAAAATAAGAAAACTGTGGGTGAGGTAAGGTTTTACCAGTAAATGTTCTCATGCTTCAGAAAGAGTGAGTATCAGGACTTCAGAGTGAATGATATCATCTCAGTCTTAAGTCTGAGCTTCAGATTCTTGGCTTCCTGCCCAACGTTGACTAAACCCCCTGGCCCTTTTCTTCTCTTTACTTTAAACAAGTAGGAACAACTTAAAGCTACAACGTTTATTTACTTCTAACTTTACAGTACAAATTCCTTCCTATTTTCAAGCGATCCCATTAACTCAAAAGCCCCAATGCCTTTTTCTCCAAAAGCTAATCATGATTTCAAGAACCATTTTATCAATTAGCTTAAGCAATACTTAAAAATAGCAGGACCATTTCCTTTGGCCATCTATACATCTCAAATACGTTTGCTTCCTTCACTGCTGGTACTCAACTCATTCCCCTGCAAAGAAGGTGGAACACTGTCTTCTTTGAGGCCTTTGCTAATAAAGCTTATTTAATCAGCAGCCACAAGGAGCCCTCCTGCAGTGCCTGGTGACTCCTCCCCTTAAGGCCCAAGCACTAAACAGGGTCAGCCTTATGAGGCCCTGCCACTCTGGGCTCAGAGACCAAGAGGAGCCCCTGTCCGTCCCACCCCCTACTTGATTTCTCCTTTTCTCTTTGGCTTTATCAGCAGCATTTTGCATTTTGAGCACTTCTAACTTTTTCTGGATAGCTAAGACATCTGAATTTAGCCAGTGATATTTTATTTTTAATTAAAAAGTAAGTTAAGCAGCTTTGAATGTGTATTTGGTAGATTTAATCACTTGCTGCCTTATATTGTTTAATGGTCTCTAATTTTGCAGTGTTGGCGGTTTAACAAGCACTTAGGATTTAAAACACAAGAACAAATTCTCATAGACTCCCTGGTGAGAAGATTTTAATCTGAGGTGCAGTTCTTAAGAACTGAACATTTGGGGTAAATTCTCAACACGGGGACCTGGAGAATTGAGGACACTGATAGTTCACCAATTCACCAACTTGCTGCAGATTTATCCAGATGATGATTATAAGCATTGAACACACTGACTTTAAGGTAATTATATTTGATTAGGAGTCCAGACATTAAAGGACACTTCTTGTCAGTAAGCTGGACTACACTAAAACAAAAGTTGGAGGAGATATACTTATTTACTGAGGGGAGGAAGTGATCTTGCATGGTTTTGATATGCACTGGCATTCCTAGTACCTTCTAGATTCAAAGGCATGTCGTGGCTTCAGGTAGAGGAAATAGGACACCACTTCTCCTGTACTTTCATATAAGTAATTAGCATTCACCATAAGCAGTTAATCACCAGAGAAGAGCTCCCAGAGACAAAACAAGTTGTTTAGCTTGTCAGCATTAGGGAATCGGAGGTCTTGAAACATGACTGCTTCTAGCTGGAAGTGGGTCTTGCTGAAGCTGTTGGATGAGCTCATGCGTGTGTTTGGCTCTTCTGTGCCAACAGCTCCCCTTACAGTTCAGCTCAGTAATTGTTCCTGTAAGTCAAATGATATTTTAATGACATGTGTGTACTTCTCAAGATCCGTTCTCGACGATGGCTTTCTAGTCCTTTATGTATTTTTTTTCAAATGCTTTTCATATTTCCTTAATAAGGGAAAACCAAAACAAGGCATTTATTTTATAGAGATGCATTATTTGCTTTCCTCTCTCCCCACTGCCCCTTCTTACCCCTCATTGATTATGTGTTATATTAAAAGGGCATAGGTTTTTTTGTTTTTTGTTTTTTTAATTCATTTCAGTCCAGATTTCATTTAGTGCTTGTTCAGGTACAGGCAAATATCGAATGCATTTTTTTTTTTGCAAAGCATGCTGAACATTTTCTTGTACAGAAACATGAAAAATGGTTCTTTCTTTTGTCATATTCTAATCATTTATTTTCTCTTCCCTACCTAGCTTCACCTAATGGGTGTTCAAAAAATGTTTCACCTTATGTTCTGGAGTCATGATTTTTTTTACTTATTCCCCTCAGTTTATTCCATTTCCTTATAATATCTAATCATTCTGGCCCTTCGTCTGTTTGTAAAACAAATCTCTGTTATCGTTGTGAATAGATTCCTAATGTCTTTCTCTTATTCCAGATCCAGATTTTTCTTTATCTCATTCTAAGAGAGTCCGACCTAGAAAGAGGATAACTATAAAATTTCTGGCCCAGGGGTCTTTTTTGTTGCTTCAAAAATAGTTCGCTTAGCCTTATTTTTGACAGATACTTAGAATTTCTTTTGTATTTTGTATTTGATTCTTACTAAAATATAATTTCTCTGCTTTGCTATGAATTATCATCCTATTCCTTTTTTTTTTTTTTTCCCCCTTTGGAAAAGCAAGTAATAAGTAGTTTTCATTTAAATATATATTACTTATTCTCTTATCAACTAGTTTAGATTCCAGAAGAAATCCTTATTCTGTTTCTTGTAGTACAAAAGGTGCGGTGTTTATTAAGTAAACCAACTGCTGCCCAAGATGCAGCTGAAATGTAACCTGCTTTTTGTTACTTCAGTGTTCTATCATCTCATCACTAGTTGTACTATAAAGAGTGATTGTTTAGTTGTTTGTATGTCCTATAAGATAGTAAGCTAAAAGTTAGGGTTCTATGGAAAAAAGAAAAAAGGAAATGAATTACTGTTGTGGAACTATAGAATAAGCACTGGACTGGTAATCACAAGTTCAACAGTTCAAACCCTCCAGTCACTCTAAGAAACCTTATGCAGGGTTGCTCTGAGTTCTAACTGATTCAAAGGCACAAACAGCAATCTAAAAAACAATAGGTTTTATTCACTGCTGTGTGGGGATGAGGATCTGGTAAAAGTATGTGTGCATGAATAAAATGTGTGTTTCTATATACCCAAAGGTAAGTCAAATAGTATTGTTACTAGGGCTCCAGTTCATGCACATATGGGTTTGTTCCAAATAAAATATGTTTAAATATGTCTCTCCAATCAGTAGATGGCTGCAGACCAGTTCTGTCAGTAATACACTTGCCAGTCTCCTTAAGACGCCTTAAAAACAAGCTGGTGGATATTTTTGGTGTCATGGGAAATAATGATTTTGAAGTTGGAGCTGATATAAAATTTTTAACAAAAGTCAAGTGAACATCTTCCTAAATCTTTGAATCTTTACAAGTTTACAGGAATTCTACCCCACATAAAACAACAGTTTTCAGATGAATCAAGTGTTGACAGAGAATCCAGAGGTTCAAGCTGGATTGAGAACAGGATGTGGAACAAGGGATATCATTGCTGACATCAGATGGATCTTGACTAAAGCAGAGAATAACAGAAAGATGTTTACCTGTGCATTATTCAGTATGAAAAGGCTTTTAATTGTGTAGATCATGACAAACTATGGACAATATTGCAGAGTTTGAATATTCTGGATACTTAATTGTGCTCATGAGGAACTTATGCACAGACTAAGAGGCAGTTAATTGAATAGAACAATGGAACACTGAATCATTTAAAATTAGGAAAGGTGTGTACCAGGGTTGTATTCTTTAACCTTACTTATTCAATCTGTATGCTGAAAAAATAATCCAAGAAACTGGATTATATAAAGAAAAACACGGCATCAGGATTGGATGAAGACTCATTAACAACCTGCAACATGCAGATGATACAACCTTGCTTGCTGAAAGTGACGTGGACTTAAGATACTTCCTGATGAAAATCAAAGACCACAGCCTTTGGTATGGGTTGCATTTCAATGTAAAGAAAACAAAAATCCTCACCACTGGACCAATAAACAACATCCATATAAATGGAGAAAAGATTGAAGCTGTCAAAGACTGCATTTTGCTCAGATTAATCATCAACACTCATGGACTCAGTAGTCAAAAATCAAAAGACATATTGGATTAGGCAAATTTGCTGCACAAGACCTCTTTGAAGTGTTGAAGAGCAAAGATGTCAGCTTGAGAACTAAGGTGTGTGTGACCTAAGCCATGGTATTTTTAATAACTTCTTATGCATGTGCAAGTTGGAGAGTGAATAAGGAAGACCACAGAATTGATGCATTTGAGTTACGGTGTTGGAGGAGACTATTGAAAGTACCATGGACTGCAAAAGAACAAACTCATCTGTGTTGGAAGAAGTACAGCCAGAATGTTCCTTGGAAGGCAAGGTGGTCAGACTTTGCCTCTCATACTTTGGACATATTGTCAGAAGGGACAAGTCCCTGCAGAAGGATATCATTTTTGATAAAGTAGATGGTCAGTGAAAAATAGGACGACCCCCAATGAGATGGATTGGCACAGCGACAGAAGCAATGGGCTCAAACATAGCAATGATTGTGAAGTTGGCTCAGGATCGGCCAGTATTTTGTTCTGTTGTGCATAGGGTTGCTATGAATTGGTACCAACTCAGCGGCACCTATGAACTACAACAACAGGAGGGAATTGCATTTCTATTAAGTAATAATAACAATAATAATGATAATTTTGAATGATGCAGAAAGCATCAACAGAAATACACAGTCACTGTACCAAAAAGAAATGGTCAATGTTCAGCTATTTTAAGAGGTATCATATGATCAAGAACCGACAGTACTGAAGGAAAAAGTCTAAGTACATTGTCAAAGTACATTCTACTGGGTTTTCTGTAGAGAAGAACATTGCTTTCTTTCTTTTAACCCATCATAATTCTTCAAGTTAACCACCAACTCAGTGCTTCATTATATGGGCTGCATTCAGAAATAATTAAAAAGTCATCCTTCAGCTCCATTGACAGAAAACAAATTGAAATATTTCAACAAACTGATGCAGCCCTGGAGGTGCTCACTCTTCTATGCTAAGAAATTTGGAAGATGAGTACCTGGTCAACCATTTGGAAGAGATCCATATGGTGTCCATTCCAAAGAGAGGTGACCCAAC